GGTCCCGGCTGCCCGGTGCTTGTTTTCACATGCCCCGGTCTGTCTTTTCAGTCTCTGCTCTCCATCCGCCAAGATGATAAAGTCGTTTGCCCACGAACCAAAGAGGTCTTCCACTTCTCACAGGCCGAGAAGGTGTACATCATGTAGGCTGTCGCCATGGCGCCACACAGCAGGGGCGGCGGGCAGCAGGCGCTCCCACCCTCCACGGCGCCCTTGTTTCCTGCGACCAAAGATGAGCGATAGAGCAACTCCACGCTCCCAGGAGAGCAGACGCGATTCGCACGTTTGTACTTGAAAACGTTGGCTGGGTCGGGTTTTGTAACATATGCCACCTGCTGGATGCCTCTGGAAAGTGCTGTGACCTTTCAGAGGCCTGTTTCTCTAACAGATGGACATCAGCACCGACGGAGACTTGAGAACCTTTCAGAATCCGAGTCGGTTCGTTCTCCCGTGGTTTCTCACAGTCTCCCCACTTTTGCTGAGAACGGGGCTTGACTCTTCAGCACACTCGCGTCTGCCTCGGCCCTGGTGAAGTGGAGACACGCACTGTGACCCTGGGTGCGCCGCAGCGGCTCTGGTGTGCCCCACGAGTGACACGGTGGCTCCCTCCTAGAGCCGCTGCCAGACACCTAGACCCCGCCCGCAGGCCCAGGGACCAGCCTCAGAATCCCAGTGGCCGGCCGGGCGGGGTCAGCATCGCACTGTGCACGCCGCCTTCCTGCCTGCTTTGAGAATGTACTCCTGTGGAAATCCACGGGAGCGAGTTCCTGCAGAGGCCTTGCCGGATGGTTCTATATGTTTAAAGTAAACACTGATACGGAAACGGATAGTTGGATCGAGGCGACTACTGATGCCCTGCCGGCCGGCCGGCCCGCGGTAGTTCCCACAGAACCATGCTGTAGAGGTTTGTACTTGGCACTTATTTTTGCATGTGGATGTGGATTAGCTAATAAACTGTAAATGTAAAACCTGTTAATAAAATGGTTTTCTATTTCTGATTTCTGTGTAAGTAGGCGGCTGCTCCTGGGCTCTGTTGTTCCTTCCTTTCAGCTCTGCACACCTTAGCCAGCCCTTTCTCCCACCCAGTCTCTGGGCTCCCTGGCCTGGGTTTGTCACACACGTACCACCCCCACACACTCTCGGTGATGCAGCGGCTGTGGTTCTCCAGACGTGAACGTCCACCCGCCAGGCCCTCCCAAGAGGCTTGCACACGTGTCTCACTTCAGCCTCAGCCACCCTTTGGGACTGGCACCAAGACTTTGGTGGCTGGAGGTCCAGGAGGCCCTCAGATGGTCCTGCTCCCCAGCCCGTGACACCCCTCCCTGGGCCACTCAGGACTTCTAGGGTCCTTCTGAACCCAGGCAAGCCACCCACTGAGTGGACAAGAGGCTGCCCAGTCCGGGCTTTTTCCGGGAGCCAAGCCATGGGCTGTAGTGGCCTGGGCCACGCTGGTTACTGCTCCCTGCACGGCCTTCACTGT